CTGTGCGGTCGCTCCAGCCCCTCGTTTTTTTCTTTTTTAATTATTATTATTACTTTTTTTTGTTTCGGCGGAGCGATAGCACAGCAGGTAGGGCGTTTGCCTTGCACACGGCCAACCCGGGTTCGATTCCTTCGATTCTTCCATCCCTCTCCCTCTCGGAGAGCCCGGCAAGCTACCGAAAGGATCCCGCCCACACGGCAGAGCCTGGCAAGCTCCCCGTGGCATATTCAATATGCCAAAAATGGTAACAACAATGGAGAAGTTACTGGTGCCCGCTCGAGCAAATCGATGAATAATGGGAGGACAGTACTACAGTGCTACTTTTTTGTTTTGTTTTGTTTTGTTTTTTTGCTTTTTGGGTCACACCTGGCGATGCTCAAGGGTTACTCCTGGTTTTTCACTCAGGAATCACTCCTGGCGGTGCTCGGAGGACCCTATGGGATGCTGGGAATCGAACCCGGGTCGGCCGCGTGCAAGGCAAACGCCCTCCCCGCTGTGCTATTGCTCCAGCCCTTACAGTGCTACTTTTTTGTTTTGTTCTGTTTTTGCTTTTTGGGTCACACCCGGTGATGCTCAGGGCTGACTCCTGGCTCTGCACTCAGGAATCACTCCCAGAAGTACTTGAGGGACCCTATGGGATGCTGGGGACCAAACCCGGGGTAGGCTGTATGCAAGCCCTACCCGCTGTGCTATCGTTCCGGCCCCTATTATTATTATTATTACTTTTTAATTAATTAATTTATTTATCGGCTCACTCTGGGAAAAGTTACAAAGCTTTCAGGTTTAAGTCTCGGCCATGCGATCATCAAACACCTTTCCCTTTACCAATACTTATTTTTCACCACGAAGAACCCCAATAAACCCTCCCCCCCAGCCCTCCCAATGCCTGTGAGGGAGATGAATTCTAGTTAACACTCTATCTACTTTGATTAGATTCATTGTTTCGACAAAAGATGCACCATTATTATTTAGAGTTTACACCCCCAAATCAGACCTGCTGAAAAGGCATTGTGAGATAATTTGTTTTTCTACAGCTGGTCACAAGAATTAAATGATGTCGGATTTCTGGTATTTTACTTATTAAGCCCGGAAGTATTTCTGCTAAGAGTCAGATAATTATGAGATTGGTTTCTGTGCGTCTGGTGTTATGGCCGTGCTGGAGAGCCGCTCGTGGGGGGCAACTCATGATCTTAGAAGGGTGTGAAGGACGAGCCAGGAACGTCCCCCTTCCCACGAGTCAGCCCCTATTATTATTATTATTATTATTTTGCCAGTTGTAGTTTGAACCACGCTCAGCAATGCTCAGGGCTTCCTCCTGGCTCTCCTGGTGGTGCTTGGAGGACCCCAAGGGATGCAGAGGATCGAAAACCAGTCGGCCGTGTGCAAGACAAACGCCCTCACCCACCAGATGTTCCATCGCTCCGGCCCCCTGGAGTTTTGGTTTTTTGAAATCTTATTTTTTTCTCTTTTTGGGTCACACCCGGCGATGCACAGGGACTGCTCCTGGCTCTGCACTCAGGAATCAGCCCTGACGGTGTTCAGGGAACCACATGGGATGCTGGGAATCGAACCCGGGTCGGCCGCGTGCAAGGCAAACGCCCTACCCGCTGTGCTATCGCTCCAGCCCCTCGAAATCATTTTCTTTCAGGGGCCGGATCCTGAGCGCAGGGCCAGAAGGAAACCCCGAGCACCACTGGGTGTAGCCCAGGAACAAAGATTAAATAAGAAATTAAAAAAGAATAAATTATTTTCTGACACTGGTACATACACCCCAAGGCCTCACCCCCTGCAAAGACAGATGCTCTCCAGCCAAGCCCTAGCCCCGGCCGTGGGTTTTGAAGGCTGCGTACGAGTTTGACAGCCCTCCTTGGGGTCAGCATGTCCTCCTGGCTAGTGGGACAGAAGGAGCCAAAGCCAGAGCCCCGATCTCAGCCCTGGACCCAGGAAATACTGGTTCCAGTCCCGCCAAGGCCATCTTCCTGTGTGAGGACCCTGGGCCTGGTGGGCGGGCCCCTACACCTGCTCAGACGTTGGCCTTGTCCCTGTCTGTGTCTGGGGCAAGGCTCAGAGCTGACTCCTGGTTCTGCACTCAGGAATCACTCTTGGCGGGGCTCAGGGGACCCTCTGGGGTCCCGGGGATCGAACCTGGGTCAGCCGTGTTCAAGGCCTTCCCTGCTGTCCGGCGGTGCCAGCTATGGGCCTTAGTTCTGGCCGAGGGAGGTGGCACAGGGGCGCTTTCTCCATGCAGACCCGGAAGCGGCGGTTCTTCTTCTGGATTTGAGAGCGTCTACCTCATGAGGATGAAGGGGGGCCAGGATGGGGGGGAGTGGAGCTCTGGACCCCAAAGCTGGTTTGTGCAGTGAGATATGTGCGTGTTCTTTTTTGTTTTGTTTTGTTTTTCTTTTTGGATCACACCCAGCAACGCTCAGGGGTTCCTCCTGGCTCTGCACTCAGGAATGACTCCTGACGGTGCTCGGGGGACCCAATGGGATGCTGGGAATCGAACCCGGGTCGGCCGCGTGCAAGGCAAACGCCCTCCCCGCTGTGCTATCGCTCCAGCCCCTACGTGCGTGCTCTGGAACTGGATGGGGCCCTTCCTGTGTGCCCCAGGGAACCAACAGGCTGTGTCCCCAGTCTGACAAGGACATCAGCCCTGCGTTGCAGATGGGCGTGGATGCGGAGAGTGGGCGTGGGCGTGAGAGGGGTGCTGGGGAGCCCCCTCCTTTCCTCCATCGGGGTGCCCCCCAGGAAGGATGGGGGGGGCTGGAGCCCCGTGGGTGCCTGGGGAAGGCCAAGGACTGGGTGGACACAGCAGCGCCGGTTCCTAGGAAGGAGGCTGGGGCGGGGGGCGGGAGAAGGGCAGGTAGGTAGGTGGGGGGGGTGCGGATGGACACCGAGGATGCCCGTGTGCATGTGTGCGTATATGTCCACATGTGTATATGCATGTCTGCGTGCCGGCATATATGCGAGTGTATGCGTATGAGTTCATGTCTGTGCATGTGTGCACGCGTGTCTTCGTGTATGCATATCTGTGTGTGCGTGCATGGCCCTGGGTCCCTGCTGGATTCCGGATCGCGCACGCCCCCTGGTGACCACGCCGAGAATCACCTTTCCTTGGGCATAAGTGAGTGGTACCCGGATAGGGAAGGCCGGCAGACACTCTGGGACTGGTGCGGCTGGTCTGGGGTCTCAGGCACTTGCTTGTTATGAGTCTGACCTGGGCTCGGTCCCTGACACCGACTAAGGATGCTGAAGCAAGCACTCAGAGTCACCCCAGACCACAGAACCAGGAGTAGTAGTCCCTGAGCACTGCCAGGCGTGGCACTAAACCCAACCCACTCCCCTGCAAGTAAACAAAACAAAACACACACATACACACACACACACACACACACACACACACAAAGAGAGAGAGAGAATATGAATGAATGAATCTGGACACACGATCACGATCACGACCATCCTGTTGTTCGTCGATTGCCTCAAGCAGGCCCCAGTAACGTCTCCTTCGTCCTAGCCCTGAGATTTTTTTAAAAAGTGCCATATTCAAGGCTCTTTCAGGGTTAGGAGAATGAACCCCATCATTGTTACTGGTATTTGGCATATTGGGGACGCCACGAGGAGTTTGCCAGACTCTGCCGTGTGGGCAGGTGACATTCGGTAGCCTGCCAGGTTGTCCAAAGTAGGAATGAGATGATAAGATGTTGCTTCCGGGAGCTGGGTTTTATAGTCTCTGGGTCTTGGCTGTTGATGGGATTACACGGCGGCGCCAGGGGGCCAGTTGGTGGGTGTGACCCTCGCCTACTGGAAGTTGGAGGATCTGGGTGGAGGATGCTCGGCCCAAATCCGAGTAGGCTTGGAGATCTCGGCCCCGGGACCCGCATGCCTTTGTTCCTCTGCCAGTACCTTCATGCGTGTGGAGAGTGGTCCCAGCATGGTGGTGGCTGGTCCTGGAGGTCTTTGGCTGCCTGAGCCCTGGTCGGGGCGGGGAGGGAAACTCAACCCGCTCCCCTCCAAAGGGCCCCAGCGAGGACAGCCAGGCGTGGGGACACAGTGATGGGAAAATCTTCATAGCAGGGGGTCTGGGCAGCAGACAGACCATCCCTCCTGGATGTCAGGCACCGCCACCTACCACGCCCCCGTCCCCTGGACTCCCTGTGGTGTCTGTCTGCACAGTACAGAGGCCCAGGGTGGCGCTCATCCATTCAGGGACTCCGGAAGGCCGCCAGCCTGGGGAGAGCCTGGGGTGTCTGCGACCTTGGAGGCGCCAGCTGGGGAGAAAGGGAGGGACCCTGCTGGGCAGCTCTGTCCCAGAGGGTTCCCGTCCCCACGGCCCCGGGACAGTGCAGGATGGGGATGTCGAACTCCACACACCGGAAGCGGGGCTGGGGAGACCTTCAGAGGGCCGGAGTGGTGGCAGACGGAGACAGGACAGCGGGGAGGGCACTCGCCTGGCACGCAGCTGACACAGGTTTGATTCCCAGCATCGCAGAAGGCACCCCGGCTCCCACCAAAAGTGATCCCCGAGCACAGAGCCAGGAGTCTGCCCTGAGCACCGCGAGATGTAGCCCCACCTTATAAAACCAAAAATCCAAGGGTTTGAGTGCTTGCATGGCCTGCCGAAGGCCCTGGGTCTGATCCCGGGCACCATGTGGTGCCCCTAACAGTGTCAGGGCTGTACAGCCCGGCCGAGCTTCACTGCCAGTGGCCCCTGGGTCCTCCCCTAGCACTGCTCCTGGGTCAGGGTGTGGACCCAGATCAGGGGTGGTGGAGATCTGAAGATAGCAGTGATGGTAGTGGTCAGGCAGCCTGGTTGCTCCCCGAGGCTCCTCCCGGACACAGTTCCCGGGGCCCAGAGAGGGCAAGCGATCTGCCCAAGGTCTCTCAGCTCCCTCCTGGCTGCCGGGCTGCTGCTGCTGCTGCTGCTGCAGTGGAGGGTGGCGGGGCTCTCACCCTCGTCTCTGCCTGCACCCTCCTCCCCGCCCCCTCCTCCCCTGCAGTGGTGCTCATCGGGGACTCGGGCGTGGGGAAGAGCAACCTGCTGTCTCGCTTCACCCGCAATGAGTTCAACCTGGAGAGCAAGAGCACCATCGGCGTGGAGTTCGCCACCCGTAGCATCCAGGTGGACAGCAAGACCATCAAGGCGCAGATCTGGGACACGGCCGGCCAGGAGCGCTACCGCGCCATCACTTCCGCGTGAGTCCCGGGAGGAGGACGAGGTGGGGAAGGGGGGATCCCCTCACCCTCCCCGAAGCGGCCTGGCTGCCCCTGGGCCAGTCCCCGGGGACTCTCTGCCCCGGCGCCCCCCTCCTGTCGAGGGACTATGGGGGCTGGGATCTGAACGCTTCCTTTTATTTCCGGGTCGGGGGACACACCTGGAGATGCTTAAGACTGACTCCCGGCTCAGCACTCAGGGCTTACTCCTGGCTGGGCTCGGGAGACCCTAGGGGGTGCTGGGGACCAAACCTGGGTCAGTCACGTGCAAGGCGGGTGCCCTCACCCCACTGCACTAAGGACTCCTTCTTCTCCTCATTCCTTTTTTTTTTTTTTTTTTGCTTTTTGGCTCACAGGGGTCACTCCTGGCCCATGCACTCAGGAATGACTCCTGGCAGAGCTCAGGGGACCCTATGGGATGCTGGGAATCGAACCCGGGTCGGTCGCGTGCAGGGCAAACGCCCTACCCGCTGTGCTATGCTCCAGCCCCTGCTTTTGCTATTTTTGTTTTGCTTTTTTGGGTCAAACCCAGCGATGCACAGGGGTTCCTTCTGGCTCATGCACTCAGGAATTATCCTGGCGGTGCTCGGGGGACCCTATGGGATGCTGGGAATCGAACCCGGGTTGGCCGCCCCGCTCTGCTATGGCTCCAGCCCCTCCTCATTCCTTTTTTCGATTGGTTTGTTTTTGTTTGGGGGCCGCTGCTGGCGGTGCTCGGGGCTGACTCCTGGCCCTGTGCTCAGGGAGCACTCCTGGCTGGGTTTGGGGGGGGGACCCTATGGGATGCTGGGGTTTTAATCTGGGTCGGTCGCGTGCCAGCCTCCCCGCTGTCCTTTTTCTCTGGCTCCCAGAGTCTGAGCGTTGGGGGCGGCCCAGAGGCCTAACACCCCATGTCCGTAGCTCTTGGACCTCTCCGAACCAGTCCTCCCTGTCCCCTGTCACCAGCTGTCCTCTGAGGCTCCTTAATGCCTAGGGTGGGGGGATGGGTTGTCCTTCTGCGACCCTGAGGGGCTAATCTTAGCAGGCATCTGCTTTTTTATTTAATTTATTTATTTATTTTTGCTTTTTTGGGTCACATCCAGCGATGCACAGGGGTTACTCCTGGCTCTGCACTCCTACACTCAGGAATGACTCCTGGCGGTGCTCGGGGGACCATATGGGTTGCCGGGAATCGAACCTGGGTCGGCCGCGTGCAAGGCAACCGCCCTACCCACTGTGTTACCGCTCCAGCCCTGGGCATCTGCTTTTTTTTTTTGGCTTTTTGGGTCACACCCAGCAATGCTCAGGGGTTAGTCCTGGCTTTGCATTCAGGAATTACTCCTGGAGGTGCTGGGGGGCGGGGGGGAACCCTATGGGACGCCGGGGTTCGAACCCGGGTCGGCCGCGTGCAAGGCAAAGCCCTGGCCCCCTGGGCATCTGCTTTTGCCCAGCTGCAAGCCCTTCCCTCAGGCGGCTGCTCCACCTGGTTCCTCAGCGAGTGTCCGACCTCTGGCCCCAGAGCCGCCCCCTCCCAAGCCGCCCCCCTGCCCCGGGGCTTTCCCAGGGGGTGGGGCGGTGGCGGCTCACGCCCGCCTCCTGCCGGCCGGCGCAGGTACTACCGCGGGGCGGTGGGCGCGCTGCTGGTGTACGACATCGCCAAGCACCTGACCTACGAGAACGTGGAGCGCTGGTTGAAGGAGCTGCGGGACCACGCCGACAGCAACATCGTCATCATGCTGGTGGGCAACAAGAGCGACCTGCGCCACCTGCGGGCTGTGCCCACCGACGAAGCCCGCGCCTTTGCCGGTGAGAGGGGCCGGGCCGCCCACCCCGGCCCCTGTCACACACCCTGTTCCAGGAGCCCCACGGTCAGGAGGCCTCAGAGCAGCATCCGGGAGGCGGGGTGCTCGGGGGTACCAGGAAGCCAGGCCCTCCACCCCACCTCCGCATTGCATTGCATTTTATTTTATTTTATTTTTGCTTTTTGGGTCACACCCGGCCATGCACAGGGGTGACTCCTGGCTCATGCACTCAGGAGTTACTCCTGGCGGTGCTCGGGGGACCATATGGGATGCTGGGAATCGAACCCGGGTCGGCCGCGTGCAAGGCCAACGCCCTCCCCGCTGTGCTATCGCTCCAGCCCCCTCACCCTCACATCCAGTAGTGTTCAGGGGTGCTCTGTGCCCAGGAATGACCCCTGGTCATACTCGGGAGTGGTGGGGGGACCATATGTGATGCCAGGGATAAAACCAGGCTCATGGCCGCCAAAGCTATGTACAAGTGAGACCAGCCCCTCACCCAGTTCACTTTTTTTTGGGGGGGGTCACACCTGGCGATGCACAGGGGTTACTCATGGCTCTGCACTCAGGAGTTACTCCTGGCGGTGCTCAGGGGACCCTATGGGATGCTGGGAATCGAACCCGGGTCAGCCGCGTTGCAAGGCAAACGCCCTACCCGCTGTGCTGTCGCTCCAGCCCCACCCCCCAATATTCTTTGCATCTTCTGGGGGGCTCACTTGGTGGCGCTCAGGACTGACTCCCGGCTCTGCACTCTGGCATCACTCCTGGTGGGGCTTGGGGGATCGCACCCGGGTCAGCTGTGTGCAGAGCAAATGCCCTTTCTGTTAGCCTCCCTCTTGGGGGGGGCGGGGCCCACATTCTCCGCTGTCCTACTTCCTGTGTGGCCAGTGTCCCAGTGACGGGACGCAGATGTGCGCCGAGGTGCCCGCCACATTTTTTTCAGTTCTGTTTCGGCCTGGGGGGGGCACCTTGGTGCCGTTGGCAGAGGTGGGGGGTGGGAGGGTCCCTGACTCTCTTCGTCGAAGCCTGTAGGTTGGAGTGCTGGCCGGTGTTGAGGGTGGGTGCCTGTGTGTGTCTGGTGTGTGTGTGTCTGTGTGATGTGTGTGTGTGTGTCTGGTGTGTGTGTGTCTGGTGTGTGTGTGTGTGTGTCTGGTGTGTGTGTGTCTGTGGTGTGTGTGTGTGTCTGTGTGATGTGTGTGTGTGTCTGGTGTGTGTGTGTCTGGTGTGTGTGTGTGTCTGGTGTGTGTGTGTCTGTGGTGTGTGTGTGTGTGTGGTATGTGTGTCTGTGGTGTGTGTGTGTCTGTGGTGTGTGTGTGTGTCTGGTGTGTGTGTGTCTGTGGTGTGTGTTTGTCTGGTGTGTGTGTCTGTGGTGTATGTGTGTGTGTCTGGTGTGTGTGTGTCTGTGGTGTGTGTGTGTGTGATGTGTGTGTGTGTCTGGTGTGTGTGTGTCTGTGGTGTGTGTGTGTGTCTGGCGTGTGTGTGTCTGTGGTGTGTGTGTGTGTCTGTGTGGTGTGTGTGTCTGGTGTGTGTGTCTGTGTGTGTGTGTCTGGTGTGTGTGTGTCTGTGGTGTGTGTGTGTGTCTGGCGTGTGTGTGTCTGTGGTGTGTGTGTGTGTCTGTGTGGTGTGTGTGTGTCTGGTGCGTGTGTGTCTGTGTGTGTGTGTCTGGCGTGTGTGTGTCTGTGGTGTGTGTGTGTGTCTGTGGTGTGTGTGTGTCTGTGTGATGTGTGTGTGTCTGTGTGATGTGTGTGTGTGTCTGGTGTGTGTGTGTCTGTGGTGTGTGTGTGTCTGGCGTGTGTGTGTCTGTGGTGTGTGTGTGTGTCTGTGGTGTGTGTGTGTGTCTGTGTGATGTGTGTGTGTCTGTGTGATGTGTGTGTGTCTGGTGTGTGTGTGTCTGTGATGTGTGTGTGTGTCTGGTGTGTGTGTGTCTGTGGTGTGTGTGTGTCTGGTGTGTGTGTCTGTGGTGTATGTGTGTGTGTCTGTGGTGTGTGTGTGTGTCTGGTGTGTGTGTCTGTGGTGTGTGTGTGTCTGGTGTGTGTGTGTCTGTGGTGTGTGTGTGTGTCTGGTGTGTGTGTCTGTGGTGTGTGTGTCTGTGTGTCTGTGTGATGTGTGTGTGTGTGTGCGTGTGCGCGTGTGAGCGAGCTGGCGCCAGTGCCCTTGAGCAGATGCCCGGATCTTTCAGAAAAGAACAATTTGTCCTTCATCGAGACCTCGGCCTTGGACTCCACCAACGTGGAGGAGGCGTTTAAGAACATCCTAACAGGTACTTGCAGTGGGACCCCTCTCCCCGCGCCCCCTGGTGCGTCGCCTGACTGACCCCAGACACTGTGCTGGAGTTCGGTGCCAGCCTGATGCCAGGTGGAGGGGGTCTGCCCTGGACGTCGTGGGGGGGGGGGTCCCAGCCTTGAGCCCCGGGGCCGGAGCTGCAGTGCAGCAGGGAGGGGGCGCTGACCTTAGACGCATCTGACCCGGGGTTCGGTCCCCGGGTACCCCATTGGGCCCCCCGGGGCACCACCAGGAGTGACTCCCTGAGTGCAGAGCCAGGGGTCAGCCCTGAGCACCGCCAGGTGGGGCCCAAACACCAACAACAAAAAAGTAAAGCCCTCCGGGGCGGGGGTCTCCCTGTGCGTTGTGGGTCCCGTGGCTCACGCCTCCCTCCCCCCCCCAGAGATCTACCGCATCGTGTCCCAGAAGCAGATCGCCGACCGTGCAGCACACGACGAATCACCGGGCAACAACGTGGTGGACATCAGCGTCCCGCCCACCACGGACGGCCAGAAGCCCAGCCGGCTGCAGTGTTGTCAGAACCTGTGACCACCCTCGGCCACCCCCCCACCCCCGCCCCGGCCCCGCCCCTCCTCTGTGGCCCCCAATCCCCACCCAGCCCCGTCCTCCCTCCCTCCCTCCCAGCAAGCTCCAGACGGCCCGGCCTGGCCTGGGTGGTGGTGGTGGTGGTGGAGGGGGGTCACCCGGGAAGAACAGAAGGCGAGCGGGAAGCTGGGAGCCCCCCTGACCCCCACCCATCGCCCCTGTGCTTCCCAGGGGGCCTCTTGGCGGGAGGGCGGAGTGGGCCCCCCACCTGCAGATTCCACACCTCCACCCCTGCCCTGCCCTGCCCTGCCCTGCCCTGCCCAGCTGGCCTCTGCACCCCGAACCCCGCTGCAGGTGGAGGGCACAGCACCCTCTCCTCCTCCGGGGAGCACCCAGGCCGGCGGGGCGCTCGCTCGCTCGCTGGGGGCTCCCCCCACCCCAGCAGACCCGCCAGCCAGCCACCACCGCACCTGCCTGCGGGAGAAGCCGCCTCCTCTTCCCGCACGCTGAGCGCGTGCTCTCCCGCACCAAACCCCCCCCCACCCAATATGCCCCCTCTGTCTCGTCTCCCCCACCCCCCCACCCCGACCCCGCACCCCACCCCTGTCTGGTCAGGAGTCTGGGCGATGAAGCAATATCTCCTTGTTTTGTACATAACGCTCTTGTAGACTTGGGTTTCGTTTTTCTGTTTGGTTTTCGGTTGATTGTAGAGAAACATACTTTATACACTTTGTAAGATGACGCCAAACCCCAGCTCTCGGGTCTCTTATTCTCCCCGCCCTCCCCCCCCACCCCTCTTCCCTCCCCTCTCTCCCCCCCCCCCAACCTGCCGCTGTCGCCCTCCCGGCCTCATCTCTGCCCTTAGCAAACCCCCCCCAACTCCCCTCGCCCCTCGCCAGTGCCCTTACTGAAATGTATAATCCGACTTCCTGTCCACGCGCCTCTGTTTTCTTTCTCTCGGCCAGGCAGTGCCCAGCACAGTCCCCCGCTGAGCTGATCCCAGGACACCCCCTTCCATGCCCCCCTGACGCCCCCCCCCCCGATTTCCTGGTCCCCACTGCAGGGAGGAGGGAACTTGCCCCACCCCCTCAGGTGAACTTGGCCCCTTATATCTGCCAGGATCACCCACTGCGCCGAGGGTCCCCTACCCCCAACCCCCCAAGCTGGCCAGTCATGTCTGGGGGCTGAACCACACCAGCTCCCCCCAGCCCCCCGCCATGGCAGCTGACCCTGTCTATCCCAAGGACCCTGGAGAGGGTGTCCAGGAAGGCGCGTAGTTGCCCAGGATCCACTGGGGAGGACACTGGCCACCCCCTTAGCCCAGGACTCACCCCTGCAACGTCCCCCCCCCCCCGTGACCCACCCAGTGTTTCCTCCCTGCTGGGGGCGGGCAGAAGTTCCAGCTTTGGCCCCAAGACTTCTACCCTCACCCCCAGAGGGATGGGCAAAGCCAGGCAGAACCTTCTAGAAGAGCATCCACCACGTGTGGTCCCCAGGACTCTGCTGGGTGTGTGACACCCCCACACACACACACATAGCCAGAGAGTTAATAGAAGCACTATCATTTATTTATGTCATAGCTGATGGAGTATTCGGAACCACCCCTGGAAAATGGGGTTCACTGATGACCCCCGATTCACCATGGGATGATGGGGAGATGTCTCCCCGCGAGGTTGTTAAGGAATCAGTGGCCCCCAGGGATGCGGCTGAGCAGGGGAGCATCTGCCCTGCGGGTATGAGGGAGGCTCTGGGGGGTCAGAGATGATACAGAGCTTAAGAGACTTACCTGGGGGCTGGAGCGATAGCACAGCGGGTAGGGCGTTCGCCTTGCACGTGGCCAACCCGGGTTCGAGTCCCAGCATCCCATATGGTCCCCCGAGCACCGCCAAGAATAATTCCTGAGTGCATGAACTAGGTGTAACCCCTGTGCATCGCCCGGTATGACCCAAAAAGCAAAAAAAAAAAAAAGACTAATCTGGATGGGGCCCAAGAGATGGTCCAGCCGCACTCGCCATGCACATGGGCTGCAGACGTGGCTTTGATCCCCTGCACCCCATACGGTCCCACGAGCCCCTGCAGGAGTGGTTCCTGCGAGCAGAGACGGAAGTAACCCCTGAGCTCAGCTGCTTGTGGCCCCAAAACAAACCGAAAAAGTACACGCGTGAGGTGAACATCAGAGTCCCCAAGCACCACCAGGGGAAGGGGGAACAGACGCAAGTTTGATTTTTTTTTGTTTGTTTGTTTTGCTTTTTTGGGTCACACCCAGCAATGCTCAGGGGTTCCTCCTGGCTCTGCACTCAGGAATTACCCCTGGCGGTGCTCGGGGAACCATATGGGATGCCGGGAACCATATGGGATTGATTTTATTAGTAGTATTTTACTTTTGAGGTCATACCTGGCGATGCTCAGGGTAGTTACTCCTGGCTCTGCACTCAGGAATTACTCCTGGCAGTGCTTGGGTGGACCATATGGGGGATTCCAGGGATCGAACCCAGGTCGGCTGCGTGCAAGGCAAACGCCCTACCCGCTGTGCTATCGCTCCGGCCCCACACACGCAAGTTTGAAATACAGCAATACCCCCTGTATAGCTGGTTCTGCTGCTGGGATGGTGAGCACTGTGGACGGAGCGAGGGGCACCGCATCAAAATGACCACAGTGAAAAAGGGCAAAAACCGAGTGCCGAAATAAAACAAGCTGGTGGCCTCTTCAAACATGTGCTGAATTCCTAGAATAAGCCAGAACGTCATAGCAGATAAATGTCACCTGGAGTAGGAAGGCACTTGCTTTACACGCGGCTGACCTGGTTATAATTCCCAGAACCCCATATGGTCTCACAAGCCCTGCCAGGAGAGATCCCTGAGCACCGAGCCAGGAGTCAAGCCCTGAGCATTGCTCTGCCTGCCCCCATAAAATAAGAATCACTTCCTCCCCTAAATTTGGGGTGGGGGGCTTGAGTGATAGCACAGCGGGTAGGGCGTTTGCCTTGCACGCAGCCAACGTGGCCGACCCAGGTTCGATTCCCAGTGTCCCATATGGTCCCCTGATCACCGCCAGGAGTAACCCCCGAGCATCGCCGGGTGTGACCCAAAAAGAAAAAAAAATAATAAATTTGGGGTGGGCTACATCTTATTGGCGTTCAGAAGTGACCCCAGGGGGCTGGAGCGATAGCACAGTGGGTAGGGCGTTTGCCTTGCACGCGGCCGACCCGGGTTCGATTCCCAGCATCCCATATGGTCCCCTGAGCTCCGCCAGGAGTAATTCCTGAGTGCATGAGGCGGGAGTAACCCCTGTGCATGGCTGGGTGTGACCCAAAAAGCAAAAAAAAATAAAAATAAACGCGGAAAGAAGAGTTGTAGCACTATAGCACCGTCCTCCCGTCCTCCTGTTGTTCATCGATTTGCTTGAGCGGGCACCAGTAACGTCTCCATTTTGAGACTTGTTACTGTGTTTGGCATATCGAATATGCCACGGGGAGCTTGCCAGGCTCAGCCGTGCGGGCGGATACTCTCGGTAGCTTGCCGGGCTCTCCGAGAGGGACAGAGGAATCGAACCGGGTCAGCCACGTGCAAGGCAAATTCCCTACCTGCTGTGCTATGAAGAGTTAAAAAAAAAAGGGGGGTTGGAGTGATAGCACAGCGGGCCGACCTGGGTTCGATTCCCAGCATCCCATATGGTCCCCTGAGCACCGCCAGGAGTAATTCCTGAGTGCAGAGCCAGGAGGAACCCCTGTGCATCGCCAGGTGTGACCCCCCAAAAAAAAAAGTTAAAAAAAAACCACAAACCCCCATCCCATCACCCACGTGTGTGATTTTTGGATCGTGCTTGCTGAGTCAGTGCATTTCTTTCCTTTGAGGCGAGGTCCCCCACTTTGTCTGTGTCGTGGGTGGAACCTAGAACCCCACACATATAAAGTATACACTCTCGCCACATTTCCAGCCCACCTCACCCACTTCCGGTGAACCAATCCGTCTCTCGTTTGCAAATCCCAGCCATAATCCAGCTATAAAGATTTCCCTACATATCTCTAAAAGAGAGGGGTGCGGCAGGGTGATACCATTTCACCGAAACTCTTCAGTGCCACCCTCGAGAACATCATGCGACGACTGGAATGGGAAGGAATGGGAGTGAAGATAGATGGTCGGCAACTACACCACCTCCGCTTTGCTGATTACATTGTTTTAATAACACCAAACATCAGCCAAGCGGCACAAATGCTGGCCGACTTTGACCGTGAGTGTGGAAAGGTCGGACTACAGCTGAATCTTACGAAGACAATGTTTATGAGAAACAGCCTCGTTCCTGATGCCCCATTGGCTCTCAATGGAACGACCATCTCCGAATGCAACAGCTATGTGTACCTAGGTCGAGAGGTCAACATGACAAATGACCTGGCACCCGAGCTGCGCAGGAGGAAGAGAGTGGCTTGGAACGCCTTCAAGAACGTCGAAGAAATAGCTAAGAGGACAAAGAACCTCCGGCTCCGGGCACATCTCTTTGATTCCACTGTTCTTCCTGCATTAACATATGCCTCAGAGACCTGGGCCCTACGAAAGCAGGATGAGAACGCTATTCGGGTCTCCCAAAGAGGAATAGAAAGAGCTATGCTTGGAATATCACGTTTCACTCAAATGAGAGAAAGAATCCGGAGTTCCGACAACCGTCGATGATCAAGAATCAGGGACGCTGTCTCATTTGCCAAGACATCAAAAATCAGATGGGCTGGACACGTAATGAGGTTTACAGACAACCACTGGCCTAGACCCATTACTGACTGGATTCCACGGGAGGTCAAAAGATCACGTGGATGCCCACCTACAAGATGGTCAGACTTCTTCGTCAAGACCCTGAATGATCAGTTTGAGGCTCTGCATGTTCCTAGAACGAACAGATGCCACTGGGCTACGCTAGCACGCAACCGGGATGAATGGAGACGTTACTGGCACCCGCTCGAGTAAATCGATGAATACTGGGGGACCAAGTGATCAAGTGATCTCTAAAATAGCCAGGTTTCGGTAATAGAATTTACAACATCCTGAAAATTGTCAAAGTAACATCTCTATGATTATCTTTTTTTTGGGGGGGGGGAGGGACTGGTTGGGTTTTAGGCCACTCCTAGAAGTAGTCAGGTTTCATTCCTGGCACTTTGGCATATTATATATGGAGCGTTGGGGGTGGAAGCCTGGTCTGACGTGTGCTAGGCAAGTATCCTGCCTGCTGTATTCTCTCCAGTTTCATTCCTGAACATCTTATAATTTTTTTTTGTTTTCATTTTTGGACTACACCCAGTGGTGCTCAGGGCTTACTCCTGGCTATGCACCCAGGAATTTCTCCTTGGAGGACCATATGGGATGCTGAGGATCGAACCCAGGCCAGTTGCATGCTAGGCAAACGCCCTCCCTTCAGTGCTGTCTCTCCCGTCCCTCAGGTCCGTTCCTGACACGGCTTGGAGGACCCTGTGGGGTGTTGGGGATCGAACCTATGGAGTTTTGGGGATTGAACCTGGGTAGGCCACATGCAAGGAAATCACCTTACCTGCCGTGCTATCTCTCTGGACCTTAATCACATCACTTAATCACTTAATCCCCGTTATTCATCAATTTACTCGAGCTGGTGCCAGTAACGTCTCCATTCATCCCGGTTGCGTGCTAGCGTAGCCCAATGGTATCTGTTCGTTCTAGGAACATGCAGAGCCTCAAACCGATCATTCAGGGTCTTGACGAAGAAGTCTGACCATCTTGTAGGTGGGCGTCCACTTGATCTTTTGATGTCCCGTGGAATCCAGTCAGTAATGGCTCTAGTCCGGCGGTTGTCTGTAAACCTCATTACGTGTCCAGCCCATCTGGACCTTATCGTTTTAAAATACTTTGTTTAAATCAGTACCCAAATAGGCTTTAAATGATTGTCCCCGGGACTGGAGCAGTAGCACAGCGGGGAGGGCGTTTGCCTTGCACACAGCTGACCCGGGTTCAATTCCCAGCGTCCCATATTGTCCCCTGAGCACTGCCAGGGGTAATTCCTGAGTGCAGAGCCAGGAGTAGCCCCTGTGCATCGCCGGGTGTGACCCAAAAAGCAAAAAAAAAAAAAAAAAAAGATTGTCCCCTTGGGGCTGGAGAGATAGCACAGCAGGTAGGGCGGTTTGCCTTGCACGCGGCCAACCCGGGTTTGATTCCCAGCATCCCATAGGGTCCCCTGAGCACCGCCAGGAGTAACTCCTGAGTGCAGAGCCAGGAGGAACCCCTGAGCATCGCCGGGTGTGACCCAAAAAGCAAAATAAATAAATAAATAATTGTCCCCTTCCCTTAGTTTGTTTTGGGGTCACATCCTGTGGTACTCAGGTCTTACTCCTGGCTTTACCCTCAGGGCTCACTCCCTGGAGGGGTTGGGGGAGGGGCCCTATGGGTGCAGGCATAGAACTAAGTCAGTCATCTCCAAGGTCTTCTGAGCTGTGCTGTCTCTCCAGGTCAACATCATTTGTTTAACTTGTATCTATAATGGGCTGGAGCAATGACACAGTGGGTAGGGTGTTTGCCTTGCACGAGGCTAACCCAGCTGACCTGGGTTCAATTCCTTCTGTCCCTCTCAGAGAACCCAGCAAGCTACTGAGAGTATCCCGCCGGGGTGGCAGAGCCTGGCAAGCTCCCAGTGGCGTGTTCAATATGCCAAAAACAGTAACAATTGTAACAATAATGTCACAATGTAGACATTACTGGTGCCTGCTTCAGCAAGTCTATGAACAACAGGACAGTGCTACAGTATCTATAATTGTTTGTTTTTTTTTTTCTTTTTGGTCACACTGGAAGGCAAATGCCCTCCCGGGTGTATTCTCATTCCGGCCCCTATAATAATTTATCTTCCTGATTTTCTCCCCTTCCTAACTGCTCACGTCGCCCCTGGCGATGCTCAGGGGGCCATGCGGAGTCCAACACAGAACTTGACCCTCCTGCAGGCAAAGCGAATGCTCAGTGTTCCGAACTCTCCGTCTTTTCTTTTCCTCCTGATGTCTTTCTTTGGTTGCAGACTGCCGAGGGAACCCTCTGGGATTCAGCAGATAGAATCCGGGTCGGCCGCGTGCAAGGCAAGCCAAGCCGCCTCCCCGCGATTCCTATCGCTCCGCTCCGCTTCTGCCTGTCCTGATGATAGTGAATGAACCCATTGAATGAATGAATGAATGAATGAAAGATAATGTTGACTTGAGGCACTTCCATAACCCCTTCGCCTCTCTTGGAATCTGTTCCTTACCTACAAAAGGCTACCACCATACGATTTCTTCTTTTTCCCTCGGGATTGATGAGCAATCCCCATTCTGTTTTCCTGCAAACCCTGAGTTTGTGACCTGTCACGTGGCTCGCTTTCCCAGAGTTTCACTTATTAACACTCCTCGTCGGCAGGGGGCGCTGCTAAGCGCTGCCCGTACCCAGTGCCAGGGCGGGCGGGGCGGGGCCAGAGCCGGGGGCGGGGCCAGAAAAGGGGCGTGCCCATTCAGCGACGTGGGCGGAGTCCTGTCGCGGCGGGGGGCGGGGCCAGCCGCTGCTGCGCCGCGGGGCCTGTGCGGCCCAGGACGTCCCCGTCGCCTCTAGCCCCGCCTCCCGGGGCGGGACGAGCGCGGTGATTGGCTGATGCGAGCAGGACGCGCTTGCTATTGGTCCGTGACCCTGTCGGCTCTGCGGGCGGTGTCCGGACGCAGGTGCGGGACGGAGCCGGGCTAGCGGAGCTGACCGGACCGGCCGGGCCGGGACCAGGGCCCGGGTGCGCAGTAGGGCCTGTGCGGCCGCCCGGCCCGGCCGCGGATCAGGTAGGGACGGGTCGATCGGGGAGGGGGGGGCGGTGCTGGGGCGACCCGGGGTGGGGGGGGGCCGGTGCTGAGGTTGGGCCTGAGCCGGACCTCCTGGCCGGGACTCTGGGCCTCAGCCTTGGGCGGAGCGGAAGAAGAGATCGCGGGCGGCGGGAGGACCCGGAGCCCGGGGCCTGGAGCACAGCAACTGGCACCTACCCGTGTGAGCCTCAGTTTCCCCGTTTGTGAAACCAGGTCACCGCTAGGCCGGCGGAAGGAGGCCGTGGGGAGGGGGCCAGAGCCCCGATGTCAGGTGCAAGGGAGGGGTTCGTGCCCTTCCCAGCTGGGTCTCGCGGGGACCCTGCCTGCACCTTAATGATCCTCATTATTCACTCTGCTACCAAGGCTCCCTTGGTAGCAGAGTACCTGGATGCTTCAAACAGGGCAGCAGGAGTTGGTAGCCTTAGCTCCTCGAGGCCTCCAGGAAGCAGAAGAAGAGGTGGACTTACCCCCAGTGCTCCCCATGGCGGTAAACAGGAGGTGAGAGCCAGGCTCAGAGAGGTCGAGTGTTTCGCCCAAGGCCACACAGCAAACTTCAATCGTCGACCTGGGACTTGAATGCAGAGCCAAGGAAGGACTCAGGGACCAACAGAAGCCTGTCTGGTGAGTGAAGAGCAATGACAGCAACTCACAGGTTCCACATTTTGCCCAGCAAACGATGGCGGACATTTATTAAGCACTTACGGTGTGCAGGGCACCAGCCCTATACTTTGGCTCACCAAACTTACGCAGCCTCAACTGCTCCATAATCTGATGGGGCTGATTCTCATAATAAAAGTTGGGGGCCAGAGTGATAGCACAGTGGGGAAGGCATTTGTCTTCCATGCGGCGGTCGACCTAGGTTCGATCCTCCGCACCCCCTAAGGTCCCCTGAGCACCACCAGGGATGATTTTTTTTTTTTTTTTTTTTGCTTTTTGGGTCACACCCAGCGATGATCAGCGACTACTCCTGGCTCTGCACTCAGGAATGACTCCTGGCGGTGCTCGGGGGACCCTATGGGATGCTGGGAATCGAACCCGTGTTGGCCGCGTGCAGGGCAAACGCCCTCCCCGCTGTGCTCTCCCTCCAGCCCCTCAAGTGCCTGTTTTATGTGTGGGAATCCCGCGTTGAACCTCGAACACTTTTGTTTGTTTGTTTTTGGGCCACGCCTGGTGATGCTCAGGGGTTAGTCCTGGCTCTGTGCTCAGGAATTACTCCTGGCAGTGGTCAGGGGACCACATGAATTCCGGGGATCCTGGGTCGGTCATAGGCAAGGCCAGCCAGTATCATCCGCTTAGCTGCCACTCCGGCCCCATGCCCCCCCCAATACTTTATGGTCCCCCAATACTGTGCTGGTGGGCGTCCCTGAACGCCGCTGCATGTGACTGAAAAGTTTCAAAAAGTGAAAAAGAAAACTAGGCAGGTGTGGGAAAAACTGGGGTCCCCCAAATCCCTCCCCAAGCAGGTCTAGCTACAGTTGAACTTTACAGGTCAAATTGAGTCTGGGGAATTCTCTCCTGGAAGACCCTCAGCAGACATGCTCCACCAGCTCGGTCAAGTTATTGGACAGAGAGGGAGAATGAGGCCCAGAGAGGTCAACTTACTTTTCTTAGGACACACAGCAGTAGCAAGAGTCCTGAGTTACGAGTCCCAGATCCACTTGCTGAACCGAGTTCAATTCCTTGCTCTGGAGGTCTGAGAGGTGGTGTAAGGAGGAAGGTGCTGACCTCGCATGAGTCTCACTCTGATTTGATCGCTGGCACTTGTATCTTTCCAAGGACTGCCAGGAGTGATCCCTCCCTTCAGGACAGAGCCAGAAATAGCTCCTGAACACTGCTGTGGGATGCTGGGTATTGAACATGGAGTGGGGTGGACTGGGATTGGAGGCGTAGTACATTGGATAAGGTGCTTGCCTTGCATGTAGCTGACCCGGGTTTGGTCTTCAGCACCCCCCACGGGGCCCCCTGTCTCTGCCAGGAGCCATTTTTTGTTTTTTTTTTTGCTTTTTGGGTCACACCCGGCGATGCACAGGGGTTATTCCTGGCTCTGAACTCAGGAATCACTCCTGGCGGTGCTCGGGGGACCATATGGGATGCTGGGGACCGAACCCGGGTCGGCCGCGTGCAAAGCAAATGCCCTACCCGCTGTGCTATCACTCCAGCCCCCAGGAGCCATTTCTGAGCACAGAGCCAGGAGTAAGCCCTGAGCACTGCTGCTATGTGTGGCCCAGAGACCAGAAAATAAGGGGGGGAGGGCAAAATCAGTGAGAGATAAATATCAAGAATCATCCTTGGAGGGGCTGGAGCATCAGGGAGCGCATTTGGCTTTCATGCGGACGACCCGGGTTCGAGTCCCAGTATCCCATACGGTCCCCCAAGCAGTGCCAGGAGTAATTTCTGAGCTCAGCACCAGGAGTAACCCCTGAGCAAGATAGTACAGCGGCCAGAGCGATAGCAGATAGCATAGCGGGGAGGGTGTTTGCCTTGCAAGTAGCCAACGCAGATTTGATCTCTGGGATCCCAGATGATTCCCCCAAGCACCGCCAGGAGTGATTTCTGCGTGCAGAGACGAGACGGGAGTAACCCCTGAATACTACCGGGTGTGGCCCCAGGAAGGGAAAAAAAAAAAAATATATATATATATATGAGCTCCAAAGCACCAAAGGGAAGCTGAAATGAGCTTTGGACTGACTTTTGGCCCAGAGCAGTCTTGCAGACGAACGGCCTTGGAACATCTATGCTGGCCGCCTGACCAGCTGGACACGTATTTCCCAACCAACCTCCAGATAAGCCAGTATCAGCACTGGCCTGGAGCAGTCCTGAGGAAGGCTGCAGGCCCAAGATAACATCCGGGGACCGGGGTGGGGGTGGGGGGGCTGAGCAGGCTCTCCAGCCTCCCACCCCACCCCCACCCCCCCCATCTCCAGTTCCCAGGACTGTGGCTCCGGGAAGCCTGGGGGACCCCTACCTCCACGCCCCTCAGGAAAATGCAACACACAGCACAAGGAAATCCCTCCTTCCTGCCTTTCCAAGAATGACTTTTTTTCTTTCTTATTTTTTTGGGGGGGGGGGGGGGGCGGGGCATGCTCAGGGCTTATTCCTGGCTCTGCACTCAGGAATTAACTCCTGGTAGTGCTGAGGGGACCCTGTTGGGATGCCCAGGGATTGAACTGGGGCAGCTGCTGTGTGCAGGACAAACACCCTCCTTTTTTTTTATTTTTATTTTTTTTGCTTTTTGGGTCACACCCGGCGATGCACAGGGGTTATTCCTGGCTCATGCACTCAGGAATTACTCCTGGCGGTGCTCAGGAGACCCTATGGGATGCTGGGAATCGAACCCGGGTCGGCCGCGTGCAAGGCCAACGCCCTACCCGCTGTGCTATCGCTCCAGCCCTAAACACCCTCCTTGCTGTCCTATTGCTCCAGCCTCGCTCATCATCTTTTTCCCCCTCCCCCCTTGTTCTTCTATTTATTTATTTTTTATTTTTATTTTTTAGCTTTGGGGCCCTACATTCAGGGAATCATTCCTGGCAGTGCTCAGGGGCCCCTCTGGGATGTTCCTGGCTGGTCCAATCTTTCTGGCCACCTCTTGTGCTCTTTTTTTTTTTTTTTTGCTTTTATGGGTCACACACCCGGCAATGCATAGGGGTTACTTCTAGTTCATGTGCTCAGGAATGACTCCTGGCGGTGCTCGGGGGACCCTGTGGGATGCTGGGAATCGAACCCGGGTTGGCCGCATGCAAGGCAAACGCCCTACCGGCTGTGCTATCACTCCAGCCCCCAAAGGAATTTTTTGTTTTGTTTTTGCTTTTTGGGTCACACACCGGCAATGCATAGGGGTGACTCCTGGCTCTGAACTCAGGAATTACCCCTGGCGGTGCTCAGGGGACCATATGGGATGCTGGGAATCGAACCCAGGTTGACTGTGTGCAAGGCAAACGCCCTACCCGCTGTGCGAATGCTCCAGCCCCCCCCCCCACCTTGTGCTTTTCCAGCTTTGCTGAGCTGGGGGTCGAACTCAGGAACCTCGTGCACACAGGTGGCCCTGCAGCAGCTGAGCAACTTGATAGACCAGTCCTAGCCATCACCCCCAAGCCCCATGGGACTGATGGGGCCAGGTGGGGGGTGAGGGGACCAGCCACTGCTCAAACAGCTGGTGCTGGAGCCCCTCCGGGGGTGGGGGGGTTGAGGCTTGCTAACCCAACCCTGTCTGCCTCTCCCAGGCTCCTGAGACCATGGGTCTGGGGCCCTAGGAAGCAGGGTCCCCCCACCCACCCCCACCCCAGGCCATGACGACGGGTGACTGCTGCCACCTCCCGGGGTCCCTGTGTGACTGCTCCGGCAGCCCCGCCTTCTCCAAGGTCCTGGAGGCCCCAGGGCTCGGCCCCCCCCAGTACGTGACGCAGGTGACCTCGCTGGACGGCCGGCTCCTCTCCACTGTCATCAGGGCCCTGGACACGCCCAGGTGAGTGGAATCTGGTTCCACCCCCGCCCCGTGTGAGAGTCCCCTGATCGCCGCTAGGGGTCACTCGTGAGCAAGGGCCCCCGGTGTCAGCCCTGGGCTTGGGGCCCCAAAGGAAGGCAGGAAACCCTGAGATGCCAGCAGGTACCCAGCTGGCTGGAGACCCAGACCTGGTGTGGATGGACCCTACCCCGCTGAACTTGGGGCCTCCTTGAGCTCTGCTGGTGGTTTCTCCTTTATACCCCTCACCCTCTGCCCTTTTATTATTATTATTATTATTTTTTTTGCTTTCTTGGGTCACACCCAGCGATGCAGAGGAGTTACTCCTGGTTCATGTACTCAGGAATCTCTCCTGGCGGTGCTCGGGGGACCCTATGGGATGCTGGGATTCGAACCTGGGTCCGCTGCGTGCAAGGCAAATGCCCTACCCGCTGTGCTATGGCTCCAGCCCCTATTATTATTATTTTTATTATTATTTATTATTACTATTATTATTATTGGGCTGGAGCGATAGCACAATGGGTAGGGCGTTTGCCTTGCATGCAGCCAACACGGCCGACCCGAGTTCGATTCCTCCGCCCCTCTCGGAGAGCCCGGCAAGCTACCGAGAGTATTCGATATGCCAGACACAGTAACAACAAAGTCTCCAATGGAGACGTTACTGGGCCCGCTCGAGCAAATCGATGAACAACGGGAGGACAGTGACAGATTATTATTATTATCATTATTATTATTTTCCACGCCTGGCTGAACTCAGGGCTTACTCCTCGCTCTGAGTTTAGGAATCACTCCTGGAAGGGCTTGGGGGACTCTGTGGGGTGTCAGGGATCAAACTTGAATTGGCCTCCCGCACGGCAAGCAGGCACGCTACCCTCTGTGCTATCTCTCCAACTCCTCCCTTTTATTTATTTGTTTTTTTGTTTTGTTTTTTTTTTGGATCACACCTGGCGATGCACAGAGGTTACTCCTGGCTCTGCACTCAGGAGTTACTCCTGGCGGTGCTCAGGGGACCCTATGGGATGCTGGGAATTGAACCCGGGTCGGCCACGCACAAGGCAAGCGTCCTACCCGCTGTGCTCTCGCTCCAGCCCCAACTCCTCCCTTTTATTAAAAAAAGAAACCCCACATCTGGCTGTGCTCAGGGCTCACTTCAGAGTCTGTGCTCAGGGGTTACTTCTGGCAGCCTCCGGGAACCCTATGGAGTGCTGGGAATCGAACCTAGGTTTGCCTCATGTAAGGCAAAAGCCCTACACACTGTCCTGTCTCTCCAGTCCTGGGTTTGTTTGCTTTTGGTTTTGGGGCTATATCCTGTGGAACTCAGGGCTCACTCCTGGTAGGCTTAGGGACTATTATGGGGTGCTAGGAGTCAAGCCCTGGTCCGCTGCATGCTAGGCAATAGGGCTGAGGTTTGAGCCCAGGGACTCAGCTATGCCCAGCACACACTGTATTGTGGAATTGTGGAGCCGCCCTCCAGCCTCTGGAGCTCAGGAACCCCCCTCCTCCCGGTCAGCTATGGGCCAGCCTCCCCGTGATCTGGGATTATCGCCTCCACCCCTGCTCTTCCCGTCCTATTTCCTTCCTTCCCCTCTCTCTTTTTCCTCTCTCTGTACACACACACACACACACACACACACACTACACACACACACACACACACACACACATTGTTGTTTTTATTTTCTACCTAAAGTTTTATTTTGTTTTGTTTTTTTTACTTTTTGGGTCACACCCGGCAATGCACAGGGGTTACTCCTGGCTCTGCACTCAGGAGTTACTCTTGGCTGTGCTCGGGGGACCATATGGGATGCTGGGAATCGAACCCAGGTCGGCCATGCGCAAGGCAAACGCCCTCCCCGCTGTGCTATCGTTCCAGCCCCTTCCACCTAAAATTTTAATGCCAGAAGCCCCATTATCACAGCAGCTGTGCAAGGCCGGTAATTTAGGAGCTCCAGCCTGGTATTTTTTGTTTGTCTCTTTTTTTTTGGGGGGGGGTGGGCATACATGGCTGTGTTCAGGGCTTTACTCCTGACTCAGTGCTCAGGGATCACTCCTGGCAGGACTCAGGGGATCAGATGGGTGCTGGGATCGGAAGGATGCAAAGGCAGCTCCTTAACTGCTGTTCCATCGCTCCGGCCCTATTTTTTTTTGTTTTTGTTCTTGGGGGAGGGACTCCTTTCTGAAACTGTTGGGTTCAGCCCCCACCATTGCCATGTAACTGCTGTGTAGGCTTGTGTAAACAGGTCTCCCCTTGCCTGCCTCAGTTTCCTCATGTGTAAACATCAGCATGTACAGAACCACCTCCTCCTCCTCCTCCTCCGCCTCCTCCCCCTTCTCCTCCTCCTCCTCCTCCTCCTCCTCCTCCGCTTCCTTCTCCCAGGGTTCTCATGCAAAGGAGACCACAGCTGGGGCTTGGTGGGGTTGGAGTATTAGTGCAGAGGGGAGGGCATTTGCCTTAAACACAGCCCGTCCGGGTTCGATCTCCAGCACCCCACGTGGTTCTCCGTGTCTGTCAGGAGTGATTCTTGAGTGCAGAGGCAGTAGTCAGCTCTGAGTACCATGGGTGTAGCTCAGAAAACCAAAACCAGATTTGACAAACTGAAGGTCACTGCTGCCTCTAGTCCCAGAGTGTCCTGGTCCATAAACGAGGGCTCCGGAAATCAGTCAGGAAATCACTTTCCCCAAATAGGGAGCCCCATGACAAACCCCAATGCCATGTGGCTCCAAAGTGGGGAATACATGGCTTTATAGGACCCCCGTAGCTGCTGTGTGTCCTGGAGCCGGGGAATCTGGAGAAAACCCATGCATGGGGGCGAGGGCGAATTGGGAGAGGGGCGGGCTTGCCAGAAAAAGTCAGACCCCGCTCATAAACAGCCAGGCCCCTCCCATAAACAGCCAGGCCCCATCCAGAAACAGGCCCCACCCAGAAACAGCCAGACCCCGCCCATAAGCAACAGGCCCCGCCCAGAAACAGGCAGACCCCGCCCATAAACAACAGGCCCCTCCCATAAACAGCCAGGCCCCATCCAGAAACAACAGGCCCCGCCCATAAACAGCCAGACCCCGCCCATAAACATCCAGACCCACCCAGAAACAGGCCCCGCCCAGAACCAGGCAGACCCCGCCCAGAAACAACAGGCCCCACCCATAAACAGCCAGGCCCCGCCCAGAAACAACAGGCCCCACCCAGAAACAACAGGCCCCGTCCAGAAACAGCCAGACCCCGCCCAGAAACAGCCAGACCCCGCCCAGAAACAACACGCCCCGCCCAGAAACATCCAGGCCCGCCCATAAACAACAGGCCCCGCCCAGAAACAGCCAGACTCCGCCCAGAAACAACAGGCCCCACCCAGAAACAGCCAGACCCCGCCCAGAAACAACAGGCCCCGCCCAGAAACAGCCAGGCCCCGCCCAGAAACAACAGGCCCCGCCCAGAAACAGCCAGGCCCCGCCCAGAAACAGTCCCGTTCACATACAGCCAGTACAGCCAACCCCCACCCAGAAACCTCCAAGCCCTGTAAGATAAAATCAGACCCCGCCTATTAAAGGTTAGGCCCCGCCCACAATTGGTCTCAGGCCCCGCCCCAGAAACCAAGCCCCGCCTACAAATAGCCAGGTCCCGCCCCCGGAAACGACCAGGCTGCCTGCAAGGTGGAGAACCCAAGAGCTGGCTAAACTTTTAGGCTGTCAATCTGGGAGGCAGCTCTCGTGGGCAGCCTGCGTGGTTCCTGCGTGGTGTGTTCCCGCAGCGAGCTCTCAGGGCAGAAACATCTGGAGAACAATGACTCGTGTGCTGGGTACCCTTGGAGGGACCTTCTTCCCCGCGAGAGGCCCCAGGAAGACTCAGCATCCCCAGTGACCCAGCTGGGCAGACACTTCCCCTCGCGCTCCTGCTGATGTCTTTTTGTGTCCATGTTCCCCAGCCCAATCAGGGCCACGTCGCGGTGCTGGCCTGTCGGGACACACAGGGTTCCCTGCCAATGCGAGAGCCTGGCCTTCAGGTGCCCCTTGACTCAGCGTCTCCGACGATGTCCTAAAGACTGTGCTGGGCAGGTGGGGTGGCTCAGAGGGGCTGGAGCTGATGGCTCTGCAGGCGGGCACTGGCCATCAAACTGCAGTATCACTGGGGCCCGCAGGAAGCGTCAGGGACAGCCTCCAAACCAAAGCTAAAGGGAAAAAAAGGGGAGATTGGAGAGAGAATTAAGGGGGTTAAGGCACGTGACTTGCATGCTAACCTCCTTTGGATTCCCCAGAACTGCATATGGTCTGGCAAGCACCAGTGCAAGGGGTCACCTTAGAGATCAGGGCCAGGTTTAGTCCCTGAGCCCTGCTGGGTGAGGCTCCCTCCCCCACCCCCAGGAAACAGAGAGAGAGAGAGAGAGAGAGGTTTTGAATTAGGGAAAGGACTCGAGGGTGGAAGTGCCTTGTTTCACCTGCATGGGTGGGGGAAGGCTTCCTGGAAGCAAGGGCATTTGGAGATGGGCATTGAAGGATGAGTAGGAGTTTGCCCCACGGCTGCAGCAGGTACCGCCGCGTGGAGCCGATGATGCGGATGATCCAATGGTGTGCTCCCCTGTCCTGTCTCTGTCCAGCGATGGCCCCTTCTGCCGCATCTGCCATGAGGGAGCAAACGGGGAGAGCCTGCTGTCCCCTTGTGGCTGCACGGGAACCCTCGGTGCAGTGCACAAGAGCTGCCTGGAGCGGTGGCTCTCGTCGTCCAACACCAGCTACTGTGAGCTGTGCCACACGGAGTTTGCAGTGGAGAAGCGGCCACAGCCCCTCACAGAGGTACACAGGCCCCCCAAGTTTAGAGCGGGTGGGGATGAGGGAGAAACTTGGAAACTCGTGGTCAGTGGGTGGGTGAATTGGTTTCTTTTTTTTTTTTTTTTTTGCTTTTGGGGTCACACCCAGCAATACTCAGGGGTTCCTCCTGGCTCATGCACTCAGGAATGAGTCCTGGCGGTGCTCGGGGGACCTTATGGGATGCTGGGAATCGAACCCGGGTCGGCCGCGTGCAAGGCGAACGCCCTACCCGCTGTGCTATCGCTCCAGCCCCTTCTTCTTCTTCTTCTTTTTTTTTCCCCCTTTTTGGGTTCCTCCTGGCTCTGCACTCAGGAATCACCCCTTGCGGTGTTCAGGGGGAACATATGGGATGCTGGGAATCGAACCCGGGTCGGCCGCGTGCAAGGCAGATGCCCTATCCACTGTGCTATCACTCCAGCCCTTTTTTTTTTTTTTTTTTTTTTGCGTCATACCCGGTGATGCTCAGGGGTCACTCCTGGCTCATGCACTCAGGAATCACTCCTGGCGGTGCTCGGGGGACCTTATGGGATGCTGGGAATCGAACCCGGGTCGGCCGCGTGCAAGGCAGATGCCCTATCCACTGTGCTATCGCTCCAGCCCTTTTTTTTTTTTTTTTTTGCGTCATACCCGGTGATGCTCAGGGGTCACTCCTGGCTCATGCACTCAGGAATCTCTCCTGGCAGTGCTCGGGGGACCCTATGGGATGCTGGGAATCGAACCTGGGTCGGCTGCATGCAAGGCAGATGTCCTACCCGCTGTGCTGCTATCGCTCCAGCCCCCTGTTTTGTTTGTGTTTTTGAGCAGACCTGGAGATGCTCGGGGGTTACTCCTGGTTCTTTGCTCAGAAACTATTCCTGGCGGTGCTCAGGGAACCAGATAGGATACCGGGGAATAAAACCTGCTTTGGCCGCATGCAAGGCAAACGACCTCTCCGCTGTACTATCGCTCTGGCCCCAATTGCCTTTTTTTTTTTTTTTTGGGAGGGGGCACACCCAGCAGTGCTCAGGAATCACTCCTGATAGCGCTCAAGGGACCCTACAGGGGAGCAGGGGATCGAACCTGGGTCGGCCTCACGCAAGGCAGGCAACCTCCCCACCATCCTATTGCGTGGGCCCCAATTGGCATCTTCCCTGGGGCAGTGCCCTCATGCCCAAGATTTTCCTGTTCCATTTATTTTTTGTTCTTTTTTTTTTTTTTGGCTTTTTGGGTCACACCCGGCGATGTACAGGGGTTACTCCTGGCTTTGTACTCAGGAGTTACTCCTGGCGGTGTTCGGGGGGCCATGTGGGATGCTGGGACTCGAACACAGGTCGTTGCGTGCAAGGCAAACGCCCTCCCCACTGTGCTATTGCTCCAGCCCCTATTTTTGGTCCTTGGAGGCTGGAGCGATAGGACAGCCGGGGGGGCATTTGCCTTGCACACAACCAACCTGGGTTTTCATCCTCTGGGTCCCCTGAGCCCTGCTAGCAGTGATTTCCTAAGCACAGAGCCAGGAACAACCACTGAGGACTGCCAGGTGTGCCCCCCAAACAAATAAATAACAATTTTTGGTGTTTTGGGTCACACACGGCAGTGCTCAGGGTTTACTCCTGGCTCTGCACTCAGGAATCACTCGTGGCAGGCTCGGGGGACCCTATGGGATGCCGGAGATCGAACTCCCGAAGTGGGCCGCATTGAAGGCCAGCGCCCTCCCCCGCTGTCCTGTCTCTCCGGCCCGACTGTCCCTTTTGTGTGTCGTCCCTCTCCCTGCAGTGGCTGAAGGACCCGGGGCCCCGCACGGAGAAACGGACACTGTGCTGTGACATGGTCTGCTTCCTGTTCATCACGCCGCTCGCTGCCATCTCGGGCTGGCTGTGCCTGCGGGGGGCCCAGGACCACCTTCGTCTGCACAGCCGGCTGGAGGCCGTGGGGCTCATCGCCCTCACCATCGCCCTCTTCACCATCTATGTCCTCTGGACGCTGGTGAGTGGCTCCCGGGCCCGGAGCTGGCCATGTGCGGCCTTTGCAGGCGGGTGGACAGCTTGGCTGGCTTGGTGAGTGGCGCTGGGGAGGTGGGTGCCCTGCCTCCGTGGGTGCAGGGGGGCATTCCCAGCCCCATCTAGTTTAGGGAGACCCTGGTCCAGGTGCAAACCTTGGGGATGGGACCCCTGGGGGTGGAGAGGGACCATAAACTTTCTTCTTTTTTTTTTTTTGTTTTCTTGTTGTTTTTTTTTTTTTTTTGCCACACCCAGTGGTACTCAGGGCTGACTCCTGGCTCTACGCTCAGGGATCACTCCTGATGGGCTCAGGGGACCGAAAGGAGTGGCAGGGATCAAACCCAGGTCAGCCACATGCAAGGCAAAAGCCCAACCCACTGTATAGCACTACAGGACACAGTGGGGGGCCAGGTGTGATTCCCTGAGCACAGAGCCAGGAGTATAAGTAAGCCCTGAACATTGTTCATTGTGACCTCAAAACCAAAACTTAAAAAAGGTCAGTGCCAGAGAGCTCAGGACTGGGGCTGGAGCGATAGCACAGCGGGTAGGGCGTTTGCCTTGCATGTGGTCGACCCGGGTTCGATTCCCAGCATCCCATTTGGTCCCCCGGGCACCGCCAGGAGTGATTCCTAAGTGCAGAGCCAGGAGTAACCCCTGTGCATTGCCAGGTGTGATCCCTTCCCTCCCCAAAAAGGCAAAAAAACTCCAACAAAAAATAGAGAGTTCAGGGTGCATGGCTGACGCAGGTTTGATCTTTGATCTCCGGCACCCCCTCAAGTTGCCAGGAGTGATTCATCCCTGAGTGTCAAGCCAGGAATAAGCCCTGAGCACCATTGGATGTGGTCCCAGCACCAAAAAAGAAAGAGATGAAACTTTTGCTTTTTGGGTCACACCTGGCGATGCACAGGGGTTGTTCCTGGCTCATGCACTCAGGAATTACTCCTGGCGGTGCTTGGGGGACCATATGGGATACTGGGAATCGAACCCGGGTCGGCCGCGTGCAAGGCAAACGCCCTACCCAATGTACTATCGCTCTGGCCCCAAGAGATCAGAGTGATCATACAGCCGGTTCCATTCCGGAAGTTCAGAGCCGGGAGTAAGTCCTGAACACTGCTGGGTGTGCTCATGAACCCCTGCAAAAAAGGGAAATTTTTATTTTATTTTTTTTGCTTTTTGGGTCACACCCGGCGATGCACAGGAGTTATTCCTCGCTCATGCACTCAGGAATTACTCCTGGCAGTGCTCGGGGGACCCTATGGGCTGCTGGGAATCGAACCCCGGTTGGCTGTGTGCAAGGCAAACGCCCTACCCGCTGTGCTATTGCTCCACCCTCGGGAAAAAATTTTTTTAAGACCTGGAACCATAGCTTCCTGCTATCTCCCTTTGGTGTGTGTGTGTGTGTGTGTGTGGGAGGGGGGGTGCCCTGAATCCCGGGGGCGGGGGCCTCATGGACATCGAATTGGAAAGTGTACACACTTGGTTTGGACGCACAGCTGGGTCCAAGGCCCGTTGTGACTAGCTGGTGCCAGAGGGGTGCACTGCAGTGGGGGGCGTCTTGAGGGGGGGTCCCCTCTTCTCGCCTTCCCTCTGACCCTCGCGTCGTGGTCCTCTACCCCCAGGTGTCCTTCCGCTACCATTGCCAGCTGTACTCCGAGTGGAGAAGAACCCACCAGAAGGTGCGCCTCAAAGTCCGGGACGCGGCGGGCGCCGAGGGCACCCCGCTCTCCCCGCTGGCCGCAGGACTCCTGAAGAAGGTGGCCGAGGAGACGCCAGTGTGAGGGGGCCACAGCACGGCATCGGGGGTCCCCCCCGCCCCCCGATCTTCCCAGGCAGTTGCACTTGGTCCTGGAGGCGCCCCACAGCCCACAGAGGCCTCTGCAACCGGGGATGCAAGGACTTGTCCACGAGGACCAACGGGCGGATGGGGTCGTGAGCTCAGCACAGATCTGGGCACCACAGCCACCCAATCTCCAGCTCCCTCCCGGTCTTCCCCCTTCCCTCTGGGCTGGCCGGGGAGGGGGGGGCTCTCCCCAGGAGGCTGAGCCTCAAGGATCCAGTCCCCCCACCCCAGGACCTGCAACCCGGGCAGGGCCCGGTGTTGGCTGCAAGCTGCTCGCTCGCTTCCACTGCACCCGGCAGGCCCGCTTGTCTTGGCACCATCCACTTTATCCACTTGCACTGCGTCTTACAGACCCAGGCCCCAGGCCCGGCAGGAAGTGGAGACTCTAAGGCAGACCTCGTGGGGGTCCCTCCCAGGCGGCGGGGGAACTCAGGACCCGAGTGGTGGAGTCAGGGACTCCACACACACACACACACACACACGGGCACCAGATTTCCACGACCTGTGATGCACCCGAGGGCAGAAGCAGCATCTGGGATTCCCAGTGAAGGGGCAGGGTGCATAATAAACCGTTTTTTTCTTTTTTAAAAAAAAAAAAATCCCAAAGAACCGTTTTCACTGACTTTATATTTTTCCTTTGGCCACACCCAGCAGTGATCAACGCTCTGTGCTCGGGAATCACTCCTGGAGGTGCTGGGGGCACCCTCATTGCTGAATTCTCTGTAGCTCCGTTTCTGCTTTGCCCCGACGGTGCGGCAGATGCCGGGCTCAGCCCTTTGCAAGAGCCATTTTGATGAACCCCCCTCTTTTTTATGGGGGTGGGGGTTGGATCACACCTGGCCGTGATCAGGGCTTAAGCATGGCTCTGTGCTGCAGGGAACGACCTGGGGCGAGGCTCAGGGAGATACGATGGGGTGCCGGGGCTCGAACCTGGGAACCTGGGTCGGCGGCGTGCAAGGCGAGCGCTCTTGACCACTGTCCGGTCTCTCCAAACCCCCATGAGCCGTATACACACACACACACACACACACTCACACACAGAGTGAAGACTACTTCACAGGAGAGGTGGCACTTGGCACAGTCGAACCTCACCCTGGGGCGAATTCTTCTTTTTCTGTTCAACCTTTCAGGGGCCCCTAAGTCCAAACTGTCTTTTGGCCCCAACTCTGATTACAGGATAACTTGATCCTCTGGGTGGGTGGAGTGGGTGTGGGAGGAGGAGGAGGAGGAGGAGGAGGACTTAGACCCGGATCAGCCCTCTGGCTGATCCTCCAGCTCTTGCCTCACGCCTCACGCGGCAAGAATGAATGAGGAGGGAACAGCTGCGGGGAAAAGGAAGAAACGCGCCTGCGCACCGCGGCGGCGGGCCAGGGGGGGCGTGGCCCGGGCGCGGGGGGCGTGCCTAGAGCTGGAGTGGGCGTGTCCCCGAGCGGGAGGGGGCGTGTCCCCGAGCGGGAGGGGGCGGGTCAAGGCGGGAGCCGGTGCGGCGGCGCGCGCAGGCGTTACTGGTCGTGCCCGGGCGGGCGGGCGGGCGGGGCGGGGCCGGGCGGGGGTCACGTGGGCGCGCCGGCGCGCAGGCGCAGTGCCGCGCAGCCCGCTGGCTCACACAAAGCCCAGACGCGGAGAAAATGGCGGCAGGGGTCGAAGCGGCGGCCGAGGTGGCGGCGGCGACGGAGCCCAAAATGGAGGAGGAGAGCGGCGCGCCCGGCGTGCCGAGCGGCAACGGGGCCCCGGGCCCCAAGGGGTGAGTCCCGAGACCCCCGTTTCCCGAGACCCGGGGGCCCGGGTCCGTTAGGTCTGTTGATGGCCGCGGCGTCGCGTCGCGTCGCGTCGCTCCCCTCCCCCACCCCCACCTCGTCGCCTCAGCGCGGGGCCGGGGGCGGCCCGGGGGCTCGGGGGTCGCCTCGGGGCTGGTCGTCCCCGCCTCCCGGGCCCCCCCGGGACCCAACTTCCCGGGGTCTTTTTCCCCCCACCCCCCCCGCACCCCCACGTCGCCCCCGGGCGGGCCTCGCGGGGGCTGAGCGGGGGGGGCGGCCGCCGCGGCCCCGGGGTCGGGTGCTGGTGACCTTGGGCGCGCGCGTCGCCACTTCCTCTCGGGTCGGGCCTGCCGTCCTCGCCGCCGCGGGGTCGGGGGCGAGCCTCAGTTTCCCCCGCGGGCCGGGGCGCGCGCGCTGCTGCTGCTGCTGCTGCTGCTCGACGCTCCGGGTTCAACGGGCGGCGGGGGCGGGGTGGGGGGCGGCGGGGCCCGGCTCGGGGGCGCCTCCCCCCACCCCCACCCCCCCTGGACACCCCCCCCACCAGGCTCGCACCCCGGGGTCCCTGCGCCGCCGCCGCCGCCGCCACGCGCTCGGGACCCGCCGCCCGCCTTCGGGACCCGCCGCCCGCCTTCGGGACCCCTCGGCGCCCTCCCCCCCGCCCCCCGGGTGCGCAGGAGCTTGTTTTCTTGTTTCTTTTTTTTTTATTGGGGGGGGTGGTCGTCACACTTGACTGTGCGCAGCAGCGCAGACCCTTGCGGGGGGTTTTCCTGGGCGCCCCCCCCACCCCCCACCCCGGGGTGCCGGCCACGGGCCCCGGGGTCGGCGGCGCGGCGGGAGCAAGAGCTCTCGGCCCCGCGGAGCCTTGTTTTTTTTTTTTTTTAATTTATTATTTTATTTATTTTATTTTATTTATTTATTTATTTTTTTTTTGCGCTGCGAGCACAAACCATCTGCGTTCGCTCCGGGAGAAAACAAAAGAGTGGAGAGAAGTGTGTGTGTGTGTGTTGTGTGTGTGTGTGTGTGTGTGTGTGTGTTGGGGGAGGCGGAGAGAACCGTCTTGTGTGTTCCAGGGGATTTAAAATTCAAAAAAAAATTTATTTTTTTTAAATTTTCTTCCCGATCTTAAAAATCGGCGGCGACCCGGCGCGCGGGAAGCTCAGGAACTTGCGAAAAAAAAAATTAAATAAATAAAAACTTGAGCACGATTTCTAATCCTGCCTCGGGCCTTCGGTTTTTTTCGTTCTTTTTGCTGTTTTGGGTCGCGCCCTCGGGTGCCCCCCTCCTTCCCCCCCCCGGATTTTCTCCTGGCTCTGCCTGCACTCAAGGGATCGCCCCTCCTGGCGGGGTCCCTGGGGGCGCGGGGAGCCCGGTGGGATGCTGGGGCGAGCTCGAACCCGCTCGGCCACGTTGCACGGCGAACGCCCTTGTCACCGGCCTGGCGCTCTGGTTCCAGGGTCTTGGGAGTTTTTAAAGTTTCCTGAAATTTTTGTTTGGTTTTTTTTTGGGGGTCTGGGGCTGGGCGGCTGGGACAGGGTAGGCCGGGGAATGGGGGGGTCCCGGTTCCGTTCGGTCCCTGCCGGTTCTGATCGCCCACATCTGGAGGATGAGCCCCGGAGGGTTTGTTTGCAAAAGTGCCCGGATCTGCAAGGCGTGGGCTGGTGATGGAAGCCGGAGAGTGGGAAGGGAGGCTGGGCATCTGTTTGAAAGTCCCACAGATTTAAAAAAAAAAAAAAAAAAGAAAGAAAAGAGAAAAGTCTTTGGCAACATAGTCGCAATGTAAAGTTCACGGCTGGAAGCAAGGAAGCGCCTGGGTCGGCAGGGACTTTCCCACCCACCTTAAACAGGCCCCGGCTCCCCAGAAGTAAAGGAGCACTCGCTGCACACCCAGTTCTGTGGTTCAACTTTTTTTGCTTCTGTGTGTGGGGTCGTGTTTGGCCAGATCTGGTTGTGTTCAGTGATCCCAGAAGGTGGGTGACCCCAAAGAGGGAGACCCTATACTGTGCCTGGGCTCGAACTGGGTTCCAAAGTGGGTGGATCGTATGCAAGGCAGAGATGCCTTCTCTCCCTGTGCTCTTTATATCCCCTTGGCCTTTTTTTTTTTTTTAAATTTTCTTTTTGGGTCACACCCGGCCATGCACAGGGGTTTACACTCAGGAGTTACTCCTGGCGGTGCTCAGGGGTCCATAATGGGATGCTGGGAATCGAACCCTGGTCAGCCGCGTGCAAGGCAGACGCCCTGCCCTCTGTGCTATCTCTCCAGTCCCAGCCTTTTTTTTTTTTTTCTCCCCCTCTTTTTGGGTCACACCGTGCCATGCACAGGGGCTCCTCCTGGCTCTGCACTCGGGAATTACTTCTGGCGGTGCTGGGGGACCATGTGGGATGCTGGGAATCGAACTTGGTTCAAGGTGGTGTGCAAGGCAAATGCTCTACCCACTGTGCAATTGGCTCCAGCCCCTCCCCTAAACTTTTTATCCTTGGGTGGAGAAGCGCTATGCCCCCCCAGCACTAGAAAGGTATATTAAGAGCCTTAAACCCACCCATCCTCTCTGAAAGGTGTTTTCCATCCTCTCAGCTGTTCAGGATTTCTGCGGCGTTAATTCCTGTCTGCATTTCCTTAAGCAGCTATGGTGGGCTAGGGAACTGCTGCCAGAACTCTGTGAGGATGGGAAGTCACAGATAAGTGTCTGGGGTGCACTTTCCAACTGCACCATTTCACGTTGTGTTCTGTGACTGGTTTGATCGCCGGAACACCTGAACCATTCATCACAGGGCCCAGGGGAGCTAACAGTACTTGGGATGTACAGGTGGAAAACTTGGTTTTTTATTTCTCTTGCATAGCTCTTAAGTTAAAGCTCTTTAGCATTAAATTGGTGCACAGGGAGACAGTAGGGGGGTTAGCAACCCAGGTGTGATCCCCAGCTGGCTTCAGTCCTGGGCACTGCGTGGCCCTTAAGGAGGCACCCCAATCCCCCAACATTGCTGGGTGAACCCTGGTGTCGCCACACTGTAGGTGCTGAGCATGCAGTAACCTCTGACTCTAGCCCTACAGGTCTCCGGCACTTGCCCCCAGCCTCCTGAGCTTGGCTTTGGAGTCCTATGGGAAAGAAATATTTGTTGTAAGGTGATTAATCTGTATTAGAGTAGGGTTCACTTTGGCAGTTCAAAAATGCTGTTTCTATATGCGTTTTGTAAGCTGAAATGGTGTACAAGGAAGCACCAGTCGTAAATCTTTGCCAGTGTTTCCGGGGTACACCCGGCTGTGCTGGGGCTACTTCGGGCAGAGACGTCACTTCAGGGCTGGGCAGCCTTACTGGGTTCAAACTAGACTTGACTGCCGGCAAGGCAAGCACCTTAACTCTGGACTGCTGCCCTGGCCTGGACAAGACTCTGGGCATTTATCAAACTCACACCCCGACCCCTCCTCCCAGTCTGCATAGCAAATAATGAATGAAACCTAAAACCTCAGTAATGGAGATGAAACGCAGGAATGATGTGACAGTTGGCCCCTTGAAAGTGGTGCTGGGGCTTGAAGGGGCTCAGTGATGGCCCTCAGTCACTCTGCCCCAGGGCTGAATGCAGAGCACACATCAGTGCTACCTTCAACCTTTCATTGCGGTAGGAAATCTTCCTTGGGGTTCTTTGGGAGCTGAAACATCTCCAAACACAGATCTGCTGTGAAAGCCACCTTGCCTAGTTCGCTTGAACTTTGCAAACGTGGCCTCTCTCACCCACAAAGGAGCCCGGGGTCCTCCACCTCACCCCCAACCTGACCTGCTGTTCCTTCAGGTCCCCCAGAGACGAAGTGGGGAGAGGCCGGGAGAAGCGGCCACGCCCAGCAGGGGCTTGGGTGTGTGCTTTGAACTGCCCTTTACTTAAAAGTAGTCCTTAAGGCGGGATCTCCTGCCAGCTGGTGGGCTGTAAATTCCAGGTTAAGGACTTGGATTTTATTCTGAAGACCTCTGAGGGAATGGAAATGAGCGAAACCGGAGTCTGCAAGGGGGGGGGGGGGGGGATCACACGTGGCAGTGGGCCAAACACTCGATTGGACCTGGGCAAAGTTGGCTATCTCTGTTCCCTTCTCAATTTAGGCAGGGATTGAACCCTGTGTGAGTGAGGCTTGCACTCTGAATTCAGCCATGTTCCCAGCTGGGCTGGTTATGGAAAGTCCCATCTTGCACAGAGTCTCGGGAAGATAATGCTAAATTTTCTTTGGTTGTCTGGGCCACACCCTCTGGGGGCTGTTTATTCCTGCCTCCGCTTGGAAGTGACCCCTGACAGTGCACAGGGGACCGACCATATGTGATGCAGAGGTTGGAACCAGGGACCAGTCTATCACGGTTGCATGCAAGCCGAGTGCCTAGCTCCCGGGTGATGGTAAACATTGACCCTACCTGACAACCAAGATAAAGTGTTTTTGGTCCACTTGACTCCAAAGGCTCTTGCTGTTTCCTCATTACTAATCTGGAGACCGCTCAGGAAACAGCCGTTATTGAGTTTTTTATTTTTGGCGGTGGTGGAGCAGACCCCCCTCAACGTATATTTCATTTTTCATTTCTTTTCATCATCCTGTTATTCGTCGACTGCCTCGAGCAGGCCCCAGTAACGTCTCTTTCATCCTAGCCCTGAGATTATATTCAAGGCTCTTTAGGAGAATGAGACCCATCATTGTTACTGGTATTTGGCATATTGGATACGCCACGGGGAGTTTGCCAGACTCTGCCCTGTGGGCAGGCTACATTCGATAGCCTGCAAGTTTGTCCAAAGTAGGAATGAGATAATAAGATGTCATAAAAAGATGTCCTGATAAGACGTTGCCGTGGCCGCAAAAGCAGCCACACGGTTCCGGGAGCTGGATTTTACAGTCTCTGAGTCTTGGCCGTTGATGGGATTACACGGCGCCAGGGGGCCAGGTGGTGGGTGTGACCCCCCCCCCCCCCCCCGTATATTTGATAAAAATAATCTTTGAAGCCGAATATGTGCTCAGGAT